AGCAGGAGGAAAGACAGCCCAATAGTCAGCACTCTTCAAAATATCATCCCAAATGCCTAAATAATGATTTTGTAACATCAGCATGGAAGAGCAAATGATTGATAATGTGGCACAGCAGAACTGGTTACAGAAGCCTTTGTTCCTAAAGTTTTTAAGTCAGGGGCTTTTAAAGTGGCACATAAAATGTTGCATAAATGAAGTATCTGCAGAAGCAATGTTTGCATCTCTCTGAACCAAATTCTGTAAACGGAGAACATGTTACTTTATCAGGATAATTTAAGGTTTTGGTGCTTTTCCCTGTTTTAAAGGGAAGCCCCTACCTAGCATCGTTAACCTCCCAATTCTATCCATCAGGAGAGCAGATACAATATTCCCCGGTAACACTGCCAAAGTTCCCAGGAAATTAACAAAGTAAATCCAGTAGGCGCTGTAGTCATCATCAAAAGAAATCTGGCATCCTGTCCTGATGTGGAAAAATGTGCAATTTATCAATTCACTGTCAACAAATTTATATTGCTCGAGATCTGTGGAAAGAAGAAAAAGAAACATTTCAGCTAACAGCTGACGCCATGTGCAGATTTTGATTAAAAACATTTTAAGTTTAGGCAACTTTAATGGCAACGCAGAGCTTTCACTGCTTCATAAAATGGGAATAGTTATTGTTGGTAATTTTGATACCATTTTATCTTAATAGAAAAATATGCAAAGCTCATGAAAAAAAAGCAACTAAGGCCTGGAATTAGGCAAGTTATATTACTGTATTTCAGCTCTGCTTGGAACGTACTTGGTTAAGGCCTTTCAGCACCAGCTGTTCTTGCATAAAGAGCACTGAGTATCTGCAAGTTTGTATGACTTAATCCTGCCCTGTATCAGACCTTCTATTTTGACACCATACAGCCTTTCAGATGAGACTGCTGATAGTGCTCAATTTGGACTGATTCCTTCAAAGCGAAACATTACTATGGAGTTCAGATTAAACTAATTCTCGTTTTTGGGAAGGCCCCTTGGTCTTCAGCTTGAACACAGATGACTTATTACATGCAACTCTTCAGGCTGTTCTTCTAATACCATTTTGGAAATCTCCCCCTACACTTCAGCTTTCGTTCTGTTCCTCTTGTCAGCCTTATAACCCTGAGTCAAGAATACCTTCCTTTGATACAAAGAAAGCCGGGTGTAGCTTGCTTTGGAATTTAACCTTACTATTATTGTGATTGCTGGAGTTACAGGAAAGTGGTAAGAAATGCACCATCTTTCCAAGAAGCTTAGTTGGCTTAGTTCTACTTTCAGTTAAGTTTTATTAAACTGAAAATAAAAAAAAAAAAAAAAGAAAGAAAAAGAAGATTCCTCTGTTTAAACATACGAAAATACACTTTTCTGTTTTTGTTATAATACTTAGAACAGTTGGAATGATCATAGATCAGGCAGTTTGAACCCTGAACTCAGACTCCCATGCCAGGGCAAGCACAATGGACAAAGTATATCACCAGTCCCATTTAGACTAAATAAAAATATACAAGTTAAAGTGAACAATAAAGCAGTTAATATATTTCCTCCTCTCCAGACTGAATCTCTTTAGAGATTATTAAAATAAAAAAGATGTAAATTCTCAGAATCAACATTAGGTTTTGGTATCTCTAGTGCAGGTGTGATCCTTCCATTTTTCTGTTACAACATTATAGAGGCCTGTTGCTTTTTAGAGCTTTTTATTCCATACCAGAGGACTTCTTGTTTTATTAGAAATCCAGAAATGATAAGCATAAGATGAGAACGTGCAACAGAATAATAGACGTTCCGTTTTTTTTCTCATAATACCTGTGTTGTAGAAGGTGGTATTCACAAAAGTACAGTTCCTGAAGTATGTGTTCAGTGAAGTAATGTCTTCAAACACACAGTTCTTAAAAAGTGAATCTTCAAAGGTTACTGATTTAAACTTCATCATAATAAACCTGCTCAACACAAATAATTTGTCAGTCCACCTTTACGTGTTAGAAAGCAGCAGCTCAAGCTGATGCAGCTCTACAGATCTAAATGACCTCAACCTCACTAACAATGATTCCTTAAAAGGCATTCTGAGGACACGATTAATGATTAGCTGATTATAGAATACTGTCATTCAGATAAAAAGCATTAATAAGAAAATTTAGCCCCACACAGCCACTGGCCACAACTGGTAATATATATATTTTTTAATAATATTTCTGTTATTACTTGTCCTTAATCACTGATCCAAACTAATGTCATGATTTTCACGGAATAGCCTTGTAGTATCACTATTACTTGCAATATGACATAACAATCGGAATTTGGGAAATCCTGACCCAGAAACTCAGTATCTTAGGACAAATAAGCACCTGTTGGTACTAACAAGCTAGAAAGAAAGTTTTTTCAAGAAAATTTATTTCTCCAGATGAACACACTGGTCACTGTGTCAGGTTCAAATGTAAAACATACTGATCCCATAGTTAAAAAAATGGTTTCGCAAAACAGTTTAACATGGACACAGAAATTATATTGCCAGTTATACAGCAAGACATGTAACTGGAAGTATGTTTGTTACTCCTGCATCTGGGGATGCAACTGCAAACACTGTGTATCTAAAACAGGAATAAACAGATAGCTTTTCTTGTTTCTGAACACCTTATTCCTACTGACTCTCATTTATCTCCTAGGTTTTTGATCATGAGTGTCAATCAAGTAATTAATAGAAAAAGTCAGTGACAAAATATATTTCTAGCAGTAACTTCTACTTCAGTGTTATTGGACTAAAACAATGCTGTAAACCTTTTCTTAGTATAATTCTACAAAATAACATCATAATGCTAACAAAACAAGGAGTGATGTAGAAAACTTATTTTGTGGTATCTTTTACTCCACATAGAGTTGTGGAAGAAGCTACAACTGAAAATGGGCAGTTTTGCTGGCAGACTTCACCCAAACTGGCAAAAGTTTGAAAAGCAGTGCTTTAATTGCTAAATGGCAGTACAAACTGTTAAATGGCAAAGCTTTCTGAACAGAGACCTGGCTCTGCTCTAATTAAACCTCGTTTGAATAGCTAAGTATTTTTCTTATGACAAAACTAATAAATATGCCACCTACAAAATAGTAGGAATTAAACTTTCTTGACAATAAAGTTGTTGGAATCACATCTTGATGAGAAAGGAAAGCAAAAGCTAAATGCATTTATCACAAGAAAAGACTTACTAGTTAATGAATTCTCTTTGTGTATTGGTCAGAATAAAGGTGTTTTCAGCCCATTAACTTTAGCTACTATATAATTTCTCATTTGTGACAGACTGATTAAAATCAGGCTGATGTTCAGTGTCAACTCATTATCATTTTTCATATATCATTTTCCAATTTAAAATGTAGCCTAATTCCAGAGGATAACAAAGAAAATGTAGAAAGTAGATTAATCAGTTGGAACAGAAATGACAGACTGAATGTCCTACATTCTTCTGATGCATTTTTTACCTTTGGACAAGAAACATGTTGTGACTGCATTAAAACTGGTGTTGTGATGATTTGGATTAAAAACTAAGAGAAATGTAATGAAGCAAAAAGTCAAGTATTCATGGAACTTCTGGTTAAGAAAGAACATGAAGGAAACGTGGAGACTGAAGGTGAGTGGAGTATTGAAACGTTAGTGGAAGAAGATATCAGGGGAGTTCATCCCTCTGTGGACAATGTTTTGTGAATCTTAAATAACTGTCAGAGGCCTGTACATCTGAAAGAGCAAGTTAGTGTTTTAGAGTAGATTAATGTTAGATCTAGTGATTTACAAGGGTATGTTAGAGAACACCCACCTCCTGGAAAGGAGTGGAACTGGAAAGCTACAGCTAATTTAAAAATGAGGTAACTGCCAGCTTTTGTCTGTAATGCATAAATCTTTAACTGTGTCAAAACTCAAGTTATTATAAAAATAATTTTAAAAGCCCCATATTACCATAATCATTAATTTTATTCAGCTAGATAGAGATTTTCCTATGGAAATAATAATTACTTAGCACCATGACTTCCACATGGTTGTTCTGTATATTTCTTAATAGAAACCAGATACTTAAAACAGCTGTGTTTAATTTTCCCCTAAGTTATCTAGTTATCTGTAAAGTCCAGATTTAACGTTTGGATTCAGTTAAAAAAACAAAACAAAACAAAACAAAACAACAAAAAACAACAAACACAAAGGAAAAAAAAAAACACGACCAAAAAACCCCAAAACCAACAAAAAATAACCCAAAACTAACAAAAACAATCAAACAAAAAACGCCAACCAAAAATAAACGAAATCCAAGCACTGTCAATGTGTTATCTCCCATTTCTGAGCTGTTCATACTCTTTACTGATTTACAGTAATGTTTAGCTTTTATTCGTCTGTGATAAGATCCTAACCTCTCAATGTATAGCGTTTCTACAGAAGCATCTTTCATCAATATAGGAAAGAAACAGCAGCAGAGATGAAAGTTCTTCCCCAGCCCCCTACAATATGCTGCATGTGTTGAGTCTGAAAACCTTTGAATCCCACTGTGAAAGGAAGTCTTGTTAACTTAAGCTTTTCAGCCTGTTTTTCAAGATGACAAGGAAGCTGGTTTTGCATGGGGGATCCTCACTCAGAAACCACCAGGGCGTGTACAGTTCCAGTTCTCCCCACGCTTCACAAGTCTTAAGAAATCAAGAACAGAAATAAATTCCCATTAAAAAGCAACAAAACCATCTATCACTAGCTAATGGAGAAAAAAAATTAGATTATTAGAACATGCTGTAAACAAGCATTTGTTTATTACAGGTGAGTCAGGATATTATGAAATCTCTAAACCTGTCATTGATGTATTCTCCATTGCTGTGAATCTGATTTTCCAGCGTGAAGTTGAAGACGAAATGTGAAACCTCCTCATTGCGGAAATGTTTCACTTGGGACGCATACTGGTCTGACTGCAGGTGTTTAATGACATCAGGAAACCAGACAGATAAGCCGTAGTAGCTGTGAAAAAAAACAGAGAAAGCTCAGTTGCCAGTCCCATTTGTTTGGAAATCTGTGCGAGGTGAGGATGAGCAGCTCCCTCAGATGCTTATGTGATGCAGCAGTTGCTTCATCATAATAAAATCCTCCATGAAGTGAAAATATTGAAAGACACTGACAGCACAAGATGTCAGATTTCTGAAGCAGATATTCTTTGTGAGTCAGGCTTGCAACTAAGAACAGACTAACTGATAAATATAACATTTGGTGGAAAGATACTGAATAAAACCTTCCCAAATAAAAAGAATAATCATAGTGACAGAAATATGCATGCAGATCATTCTTCTGTCTGTGAAGTGTATCAAAAATGGTTTAAGATATCAGCCACTCTTACCCAAAAGACAGGGTGAACCATACAGCTGTAAGTTTGATTGTATTATCCTTCACTGGGTAGTTGAAGCATCTCATAAACGTCAACCAGATCTGGAAATCATTAGGAAATATATTTATTTTAAATTGTATTTTGAACAATTTTTTTCAACGATATAAACTTCTTGATTCTGATTTGCTTGCTTCTAAAGGGCAGCAGAGAGAGCAGATCAGCTGTACTTCTAACACAAGTATGTTAATCTCCAACTATAGCCAGGTTGTATATGTTCTGTGACTTTCTGGCTTCTTTTCACAGAATAATAGTATGGTTTGGCTTGAAAGGGACCTTTAAATATGGTGTAGTCCAATTCCCCTGTGACAGGCAAGGACATCTTCCACCAGATCAGGTTGCTCAACACTTCCAGTGATGGCGCATCCAGAACTTCTCTGGGTAACCTTGACAGTGCCTCTTCATCCTCATCAAAAAAATTTCTTCCTCATATCTACTCTATATCTATCCTCTTTCAGTTTAAAACTATTACTCCTTCTACTGTCACTACAGGCCTTGGTAAGATGACTTTATCTTTTTATATGCCTCCTTTAAATATTGAAAAGCTACTGCAAGGTTTCTCCAGAGCCTCCTCTTCTCCAGGATGAATAAGTGAAACTCTCTCAGCCTTTCTTCACAAGAGAAGTGTTCCAGCACTATGGTAATTTTAGTTGCCCTCCTCTGGACCCACTCAAACAGGTCTACATCGTTCTTACGCCGTGGACCTCAGAGCTGAAGACTCTGGGTGTCACTCTGGGTGGAGTACTCACCAGAGCAGAGGGGTGGAACCACGTCCTGCGACCTACTGGCCAGGTTTCTTTTTATGCAGCCCAGGATATGGCTGACTTTCTGGGCTGCAAATGCATATTGCTGGCTCACAGAAAAATTTTTATACATTGGTGTGGAATGTGTCTGTTAATCTATTTCAGCTCTGACAACTTCAAACTTTCCTAATCTCTAGGCAGCTTCATTTCACTATTACAAACAAATCGGAGATCTTGTCAGAAAAGTTTTCTTCTCACTCTCCAGTTTTAAACTGATTGAAGTTTAGACAAACTATATTCCATAATTCAACAGGGACACACTGAGAGATTAATCTATCATAATCTACTGCAGCTAGAAACTGGAAATGTAACTATATGAGGAAAAGCTGGGATTATACCCAGGTCAAAAACGCTACAGCAGAGCTCAGTGAGAATGGTGTTCTCTCCTCTCTGTCTCCCTCTCTCATCTCAGGCTGATCTCCTGTTGAAAAGAAGAAGCAGTCCATACTAGGAGGTTTCAGCACACATCATGCAACAAGGAAGGTACTCTGACCCAGGGGCTAGTCTATTGAGATAACAAGGACGTGAGACAACCGAGCTGCAACCCCTTTTAAGCTGGTTTAGTAACCAGACCAAACCAAAACATTTCAACCCTCAGCCACTCCATTTTTGCACAAGTAACTGTAACAATGGACACTTTCTGGATTTTTAATATCTTTTTAATAGGGGAAAATGCCATCTTTCCAAGCCAACAAATTTTGTGACAAACCTTGGTTTCCAAATCTTCATCATAGCTTTGGAGAGCTTTAAAATGCCAGGTTTTAAACAGTTCTGGAAAACTACTCTTTGTTTTACTTTTTTTGTTAATTTTAATGAGACTTTCTTCAATTTTTACTACAAAGTTCAAAGATACTGCAGGATTTTGATTTTGCAAAGAAAAGTAAAAAAGGGTACAGAGCACAGTCCCAGTGAGCTTGTATTAAAGTCTTCGAAACAACTGAAATATACTTTTCTCATAAAACATCTGACATGCCTAAAAAAACATGCAAATACGATACCTTGCAAAGGTTTGATTTTACATTCATTTACACAATTTATTCGTTGCTTTATCACTTGTACATAATGTGACCACGGCAGATAATTTTTCACCTCACCACGTGTGACCTCTTTCCACAGGTATGCATTGATATGAATTCCCAGTACACTTTCTATTGTGGTGCTTGGGAATATGGCAACATAACTATTAGCCATCACTTGGTGAAGGCCAATGCAGCATTTTCCTCCACAAAAGTTGGGACCAACCTCGGTGATTCACCTGCACCTTTCCTGGGTCAGGAAACCACAACCTTACACTGGTTCCTTAATCTTGTAGTTGCACGGAAAATGCGGCATTGCAGCTATAGCCAGCAAAAGCTCAATCAATCCATCCCATTTTGAAGGCCAATTAGAAAAAAAGAAAGGTAATTACAGAATAAACAGAGATCTTATTACTTACAGCATATAGCTCTGTGCGAATTCTAACAAAACACCGCCTGTACCAAGTTCCTGTGTCACTCTCTATTTCTATAAGCTCATCTATCTGCTTTGGAGTTTTGATTCTGTTAACCTAGAAATAAAAACAGAACAGCCAATAATCGCATTTTCTTGATTTAACATCTTTTCAAGGAGTACCGTAAGGTTTTAAATGAGAAGGTATTAAACCTGTGTCTACAATAGAAATGTTTTAGAAATATAAAGGAATAGTAGCACACTGTAATGCCAAAGTTTGTTATGGATGCAACTATATTGGAAAGTTTCTACTTTGAAAGCATGCAGGAAATCGCTTTCTACATACTGAAACAAAGTGCTGCTGTCAAGTTCTGCTATAGTGTTGCTGTATCCCTAATCCCACAAAGGATAAAACATTATTTGAACCCTCAGTTAATAATTTCCGGAGTTCACTATCAAGTTGTTTGTGACTTGCTACCACAACACTGTTGAAAGTCTATTGATTAAAGATACAGTAACGAAGATAAAAGTATTTGAAATATCAAGAATTAATAATAGAATAACATTTTTTTCCTCTTCTTATTTCCTGTAGTGTTAGACAGGGCACTTTCTTTGTCTTTTGGATGTTGATTTTAACAATCCTTTTTAATGAAGAGAGGCAAAGTTAGGTGAAATGATCTTGAAACACACATGTTATTGCTGTTATGAGCAATCATCTACTTCATTTAAAGTTAAATGAGCTAAACAGACATCAGGGAAAAATACAGAATTACCAGTGACAGAGAATGTGATGTTGCCTACAACGCTAATTTTCACTTGCACTTTTCTTCATAGCAGAACAAGAATGTGTTATATGGTCTTTCCAGACACAGGACTTGACAAATATATACCATTTTATAGTTTTGGGTTTGGCTTCTGGTCTGGTCCCAGGTTCCTAGCGGTATCACAAAAGGCAGCATATTCATCCACAGTTTATTTTAAAAGAAGACAAATTGAGAATGGAAAGGAAAGAAATAAAGTGGGGAAAGGGACTGACATATAAAGAGTTTTAGAGCAGCAACTAAGTGTTCAATGTTTGGCTGCGGTTTCTGAAGGTAGCAATAGCTTGTGCTTCTTATAAGAATGAGGACATCATTACCCAAACATGTATCATACTATATTACAAGACATCAGGGAACAGTAGTATTGATGGTAAAGCTCTAGTCTTCAGCCCACTGCTTTTACAGATGTACACTGTTTAAGGTGTGCCAGCAGCCTGTCATGACTTAGACCCAGCCAGCAGCTAAGCACCACAGAGGCACTCAATCATCACACCCCCTGCAGCCCCATTCCCCCACCCCCCCAAAAAGTGAAGGAAAAAAGTGAGAAAAAAACCAAACCCGTGGGTTTAAATAAGCAGAATTTAACACATCACAAAAGGAGCAATAAGTAAGAATATATATAGCAAATTATATAAATAGACCACATTAACTCTGAACAGCAACTCAATGCAAGCCCAGCCTGCGACCACGGACCTCCTGACCATGGACCTTCTGTCACAAGCATGACATCAGCATGGTATCAACCTATCAGGTGGCTGGTCTATCCTGGCTGAAGCTCCCTCCCAGCATCTGGTGAAAATTAACTCTGTCTTAGACAAACCAGGACACAGCTTCATCCCGTGAACAAGAACAATGAAAAGCTCACTCAGCAATATTATCTGTAAGCATCCTCATTTCTGAAATATTGCAGCATGGTTTGCCAAGCCATGACTATATCACAAGTCTGTACCCTTCTTGTCAGGCCTGTTCCAATAGCAATAATCCTGTCTGTATCACTCCATTTATTTTAACCTTCTCTCAAACTGCTTTTACGGAACATTTTATACAAAAGACTGAGTTAAGCCCTCCAAGATTATTTAAGATCTCATACATACAGACGTCCTAATATGCCACACCTCTGGGCAGAAAAGGAATGCCTTTTGAATCATACTGTATAAACCAATACTGCTCTTGTAGGCTCAGGGCCAACCTTTTCACCATCCTGGCCACCTGACCCATTTGAAGCTGTGGAGATCAGGGGAAACATATTTATAACCCAGGACCACTGTATGTAACTAGGGACAAAAAGCTCCTGGGCTTGACGGTTCTTTAACATAAGAAAAGTCCGTCTGAATCAGGACAATGGTCCATCTGGACCATACAAATTCAGCTGCCACTGTATGAAGAATAAAAAAAAGAAGCAATAAAGAATACTTATTGTAATGAAAATGGAAATTCCGTTTAAAAGCAATGGCTAGAAATACATAATGTTTTAAATTTAACAAAACCAAGACATGCTGCAAAGAAAATTGTTTGCAGAAAAAAAATATTAAGTAATACATGGCAATGAAAGAATAGAGAGAATTTTGGGTTTAGGGATACAAAGATTTTTTTTTTTTTTTTCATTTGAACAGCCAGATCTAATGAACGTGTATGTTAAGAACCCAGGAAGGTAATTAAGCATGTACATACATGTTTAACTTGGGTGCTCTCATACTAGAAGATACTATAAATTTACTCTGTTATTATCTCTGTTACTGTCACTGCTCTCAGGAAAGATTTTCAAAAGTATTAAGAACCACCACCCCTACAGTCAGTAACTAGAATACATTTTTGGGGCTTCTAATTCTAAAACCAACTGTTCATTAGTTGATGCCTTCTCTGCTTTACAGGTTTGAAGATAAAACCCTCAACAGTATGAGTAACAAGAATAAACATGACTTGTGCAAAAAACTTCTAGGAAAGGATGACATCAACATAATTAGGAAAACATATAAAAGGAAAGCACACTAAAATGATAGCTGTAATGGAGAAAAAGTTACATGAGGTGTAAGAGAAAACATACTATTGAAGTACGTATGATGAAACTAGTGACATGAAGTGGAGGAAAAGAGTAGCACATAAATCATAGAACGGTACTGGATGAAGCAGCAAGGTTTGAGAGAGCTACATTATTGAGACAAAATGTCCCAATATGCAGGATAAACTTGTATAAAAAAGTATCACAGAATCACAGCATGTTAGGGGTTAGAATGGACCTCCAGAATCATCGAGTTCAACTCTCCCTGCCAGAGCAAGACCATCTAGTCTAGGGCAGGTCAAGAAGAGGATGTCCTAAACAAAATATGCATATGTTCTTTGCTTTCTGGCTTTTATAACACGAAGGGCTGATATTTTCCAATGAGGAGACAATAATGCATTTTCTAATCATGTTAAAGCAAACTGAAAATAAGATCTTTTATACATGTGTAGCCTTGATATACAGTACAGTATTTCTAACCCTTAAACTGACCGATATTAAGAGTTTCTCACAATATTAATGACAGAAATTTTCCTATATCACATGAAAGTGGTGGGGTTTTTTTTCTTTTTCTTGTCTGATCAATTAACAAAAATAGCTATAAATAAAGCACCGAGTTCAAAATTGCTCAGTGTCACATTTCAACAATGTCAGAGAGAAAGACTTTTTAGATCACAAGAACTGGAAACAGCAAGCATGTGCTTTGTTTTCTTCTCCACAGCTGCTTTAGGATGTGATTACAATTACATCAAATTGATGTGAGACTGTGGCTGATCCTTCCTCCCACCTTTTGTCCCTGCATGTTTCTGTCCTCTTCCTCATGCCTAAACTAACAACGTATGGCAAAAGGGTCTGTGCTATGCCTGACTGTGCAATCACTGAGTATCAATGCTGACAGGAGAAAAACAAAGAGTAACAGAGGGCAGACATACTCTGTCTGAAAGCACCTCAGATCAGCAAAAGCCAATTGCAAAATTACACCCTAGCTGTATAGCGTTAGGCAAATCCCTTTACTTGTAAATGAAATCAGAAAATAAAGCATTAGGTTAGATGGGATTAGGGGTAGGTCATCGGTGTACCAATGCATGTGGATTTAACACAATAGATGTGCACATCAGGCTTCTCTCAGGCTAAATATTTAAGTTCTTGAGGTACTTAGTGGAAAAAATTAAATGGAGTCAACGGAAACTACATCCAAGGTAATAAACTGCAAGTCTAAATGGAATAAAGTTACATGGTCAGATGATTATTCCTCAAGACTGCCTGCAAATGCAGAACCTTTAAGAGGATTTCTTAATTGAGTTATGTGTGCATTAAAGTAAGAAGAAAGCCTCTGGAAGAGCAGAAACATCCCACACATGGCTCTGAGAGGGAGCAGAGTGCCAGCACTCCTATGGCACAGTGCAAGCTGGGAAGACAGACCAGATTTTAAAGCAAGAAAACGCCTTCTGTTGTTTGGTTCTACTGCATACAGGAAGACAAAATTTTTCTATATATTCATCATAAATAAGGAGAATGTAATAAAAAAGTCCCATATCTGAACTGTCAAATTTGTTCTCCAAATAGAAACAACACATTAATACTTTGAATAAAACCTTATCACTAGACCTGCAAGTCAACAAGATGCAACTGAGCTTCCAAGATATTATGAGAAAATTAAATATCTGAAATTACTATTTCATAGAGATGAAAAAGAATTTTAAAACATTATTATTTTAAATGATAAAAATTTAAAAAAAAAAAATCAAAAAATTAAAAGGTACAATAGCCTCCAAATCACACTTCTGTGTCCTTACTGTTATTATTAAGGATGAAGCAAACTTAATAAACACAACACAAATGGAGTGTGTTAAGTATCCTGGCACAAAAAAAAAAAAAAAAAAAAAAAAAAAAAAAAAAACCCCAGTCCTTTTCCATGCCTATCTGCAAATACCTAGTGTATCTACCTCGTATATCTAGCAATTTCAGCAGTAATTCAGTTCTTATATTTAGGTATTTAGAGTGAAAATGACTGGCCTTGTCATGCAGAGTATTAATATTGATTGCTTAAGCCCTCCAGACCTTGCCAATCAGCAAGCTGGCTGATGTGCTAAGTGATTAGCTTTAAAAGCAATACTCACTGTGAAGACTTTCTCAGGCTGACCACGAGCTCGCATATTTGTGTCATGAATTTGCTTGAGTATCATCCAAGCTTCATCATGTTTTCCAACCTAAATGTTTGATCAAAACGTTTAAACAAATAGTATACACAGATTAAGATATTCGTTATAGTCACTGAACAGTCTTAATGCCCATTATATAAAGGTCATGTTATAAAGACAGAAATCTACACACAGGAATATAACAACTGTTTGGAAAATACATACCTCCAGCAAGAACCGTGGGCTTTCTGGCATAAAGGTGAGGGCTACCACAGAAGAGACACAGGGCAGAGCGCAGACGATCACAAACACTCGCCAGCTATGGAACTGGTAGGCAGAGCCCATGCTGAAACTCCATCCTATGAAAGCAGAAATTCACAAAATGTAGAGAAATAAGTATTTTATGTGGGAGTCTGCAGCTTCTCAGAGGTGCAAAATGAAACCCGTATTTAAATGAAGCCTGACTGATCTATTTCCATAAATACTGATGATTTCACAAATGATCTTATGCTATGAATTTCAGTCTCTTGCATGTAACCAGTCATGCAGGTTAAATGGCCGTATTATGAGAGGTGGGAGACCTCCTTACAAAGGCATGAAGAAGCCTCTTTCAAGTCTCTTGGCAAAATCTTCATGAAGGTAGTTACGAGAACCAAACCCCTCATCCTACACAAGAATATATATACAAAGATATTGTTTCCTATGAACACTGGATGAAGAGAAAATTAAAAATCTAAACTCAAAGTATACATTTTATGGAATTTTACAGCTTTCCTTATTTTTTTTTTTTCTGCAAAGAGTCCATTTCAATATTCTTAATGAGTCTCCTAATGTAATACAGTGCAACACATAAAGCAATTACAGTGCCTAACTTTTGCTTCCATCTTGTTCCAGAGCACTATATCACTCCTTAGACTCTGTTAGAAGTAAACTGCCCCATAACCAGATGTACAGGAAAAAAACCTCAGTACTTAAATTCCTATCTGAAACTAGCAACCTTAACACTGAAATAGAGAGATGACTTATGATCATATAGAGATGAAGAAAAATGAACAACAGGAAAACAATTCTCATATAAAAATTTATCTGAAGATACAACTGAGTGCTGATTAACATGCTGTAGAATCCATTGTTAAAATACAGTAAGAAGAACACAAAAGGAAATACTGGAAAACTGTATGTGAAAATTCAGCTTTTAAACAAAATATCTGATTGTCTAGTATATCATGACTGGACTACTGAAATGCTAGAACTGTAAGAAACCTAGGAATTTGTCTTAAGAAAGAGAAGAATATTATTTGGGTAACTACCGGACCTTTCAGTCTGGCTTCAGTATAGGAGAAATTTTCAAGCACAATTTTCAAGGTTAACATACTAAAAATAAGTGGAAAATACACACAACGATAAAGGACAGGAGAGCTTACTGGAATAAAATGGAATCCTGGCTAACGAAAGCACTGATGCCAGATTAATCTGATATTTTTTTTGCTAATGGATTTTTCTAGATAAAAGACATGGTTAATTAAACCTGTCTGATTGTCAGTAAACGACTGGTACACCATGGTAACAAATGGCTTACTAAATAGTTCTTCAAAGGAGGTACTTATCTGTTAAATGTATATTATATTTTGGAATTTAATGATCTGATGCTGTAGACCATAAATATATTCTTGGGGAAAAAAACTTTCTCATATTAAAGTACTTTTATATTTCCATATGAAAAATAGTTGACCCAGGGGAGTCAACCTATTTGGAATCTGTTTTTTCTGGTCTCCTACAAAAGTACTCTTTTTCTGAAATGATAGAAACTTGCTCTACAGCCTGGTTTAGCCCTGCCATCTTTACCCTTGGAAGACAGATGTAAAATTAGTAATGGTGCTGGCAATGATCTTGGAATGCCACAATACTTTTTTTTTAAGCAAGGCTCCAGATAAACATACCTTCCCCCCGCAAAGTTCCCTCCAACAAAAAAAAAGCCATCAAAAATATAATGTTAAATTTTATTCCAAAACAGAACTTGGAATGTAAATCTAAGATTTAAAAATACAAACAAAAAAAGGATCTAAAAGTGTATTAAAACTGACTTTTTGTTGATTTTTGGAAAATGCCAACTTCAGATCTTATGGAATCTTAAATAATGTGGGCATACTTTACGTCTAAATTGGGAAGGGAAGGAAATGTTTACAGTGAGTTAATGAGGCAATTATAAACCCTACCTGTGTTTTGGGTATTTTGTATACATTCTATTGTAATACTTTGAATAATATTCTTCAGCCTGTATTTTAAACTATACTACAAAAGCACCTGATACAGAACTCACAGAAATATTTCCTTTTAGTTAAGTTAATTTTTGGTCAGAATAGTGAGCTGATCTGACCCACTGGGCAGCTGTGCAACTGCTTGTGCCATGGGGAAGGTGGCACAGGACAGGGATTTTCATCCTTCAGAACAGCCTCGTCAAGGTACTGGTTCTTGCTGTCATTAGAAACTGTTTCAGAAATACACAGAGACACTAGAATATTTACACACTCTGCTTTTCACCGCTCCAGTTTAGTTTTATGAGGTTGAGCCTGACAAAGGGCACTTCTGCAGTAAATTAAATCAACCTGGCTTTATACCTGTTATAAAACAACAGCAACATCTTGTGCTCTGTAACCAGTCATGGAAAACACTGATGATAATTTACTTCAACGCGTCATTTATTAATGTAAGTGAAGCAATACTACATTTAATTAAAAGCAATGAGTACACCACTCATCCTGCTGTCATCCTGACAACTTACAAAACACCCTTTTTACTCCTCAGAATATCTGAGGGGCATGTCAAGTGAAATGCTCATTATGGTTTCTATTGCTCTTATTCTATCTTTTTTTCTATGCTTTGTATTAGCTGCTGTAATTTATCTTGTGATTTAACATATTTGCTGAATTAATGATTAACAGTGAATGTCAGGATTATAAGAAGCAATTGGTAGAAAAAAATAAACCAGCTGCAGCACAGCTTTCTTGAGGCTGCTCTCCTGTCTATTCCAGCACCAGCACTGGACCAGAAAACAAAGATATACTTCAAATGCAGAGCAAGTTTAGATTTATTCTTACATTTAACACATCTTCCTAGGTCATGAGCTAACCTGGAAAATGGAGCCATTAGAGTAGCTCTGAATTTAGTTCACAAAGTGGCCTTCATTCCTATTGTACATAAGTTTTGAAACCAAATGGAACTGTGTTCTTGGCTGTAACTCAATTTACTTCTCCCTTCCCTGGTTTATGACACAACAGCAAAGAGAGAGAAACTCTACACAGTTGTGTTCAAAGCACTGCACACAAACCTAGAGCTAAATTTCACCCTTGCTCCCTGGCTATGCCATATTTTAGAATCATTAATCTTGAAAATGGTGACAAGCCTGAATGTTTTACAAATTGTAAAATGCCTGGCCCAAATGCTTGGGGATGATGTGCTGTGGAGCAATGTAAAACTCACAGTGACTGAATTTGAAGCTGCTGCAGAAACCTTTGTGCTGCTTAACACCCTCCCACTTCACTGACTGCAGAAAAGGCCAAGTGAATCACAGACATGGCCATTACTGATTACAGAAAGACAGCAGCACGCAGAAGAGCAAAACCAAAATGTACAAGATGCTAATCTATAACTAATCACCAATTTGTATGTTGAATTAATTGTCAACAAAACCTTCCCTCCCAACACAGCATTTCATCTGCTCCATAATATTGATAAAAGGATATTATAAATAAGTTCTTGTTCCAAATGAGAGACAAGAGCATTTCTGTCATAGACTATCTGAATAAATACAGTTCTAAATCTGTCCATATTATGCTGAATTTTATAAAGGTATATCACCTGTTAAACAGTGGGTATCTTCAAGGACAAAGATCATCTTTTACAGTGGCTATTATATGTTACTAGAGAGCAGACTAATTATGGGGGAGTTTTCTCAACTTTCCAAAACTAAGGGTGAAAAGGAACATGATAGCTCTCTGCAGGGCCATAATTTTTGCACTGAAGTGCAATGCGGGCAATGAAAAATAAGGAAGATTACAGGCTCTGTACACATTATGGCTGGCAAGGGGAAGATTTCTAAATACCAGAGGAATAAAGTTATGAAACACTTCTCCAAGAGATTAATGTAGGCAAAGAAATAATAACATATGGATTTTATGGCATGGTTAGCTTTAGACTGACCAGTCTTGATAACAATTTTTGTTAATCATTCAGTAATAATCAGAGGAATTAGATGAATTACAGTGTCAGAAATTGTCAAAGCCCAAATATGCATAAAATCCTGTCTTGGTCAACCAAAGGAGAGAGCAGATGTAAGAACAACCCTAAACTTAGGGACAGTGGAGAAAGATAGCCAAAGAATTTATAGGAATTCATAGACTTGATAGATTCTTCCGCAGAATCGTTTCTATGTTTTTATAACTTTTCTTAGTTCTGTTCTACCACAAAATCTTTCATCAGAGGTCAGGTTTCTGGCCTCAATTTTTATCATTTTAACTTTGTTTATTTTCCAGCAACTAAGACGTGTGATGGCTAAAAATTGCCACGCGGTGGCACTGTTACAACACTTAATGCAAATAATAAGTTTTAAAAAGCTCTGCAAAAATACTTCTACTACTATATGTTGTTCGTTTGTTCACTATTTCCCAAATCTAAGATGCATCAAAATTATAAGGAAGACTGGAAGTATTTTTCAGCTGGAAGCACTGAAATACATTATTACACTTATATTTAGTCTGTCCTGTTATTACCAAGGTTACCTGTAAGTGAAATCTAGTAATTGAGCCCATATATTTTAGTGAAATAATGGTAAAACATCATTGAAATGGGAAAAAAAAAAAAAAGTTCTGGCAAGTTATATAGCTGAAGAAGCTCAGTTAAGACTTTTTCCAAGACTTGAGTGAAAAACATGGTTTCCAAACAAACGCACAAATATTTTCAGAATTATTCTGCAATAGGATTAATGTGAAAATCCAGTAACACAAAGTAGAACACTTGTCTTTCCTGTGGTTAGATTATTAATATTCACATGGGAAAGTCAGTGATAATTTTAATCTATATAGAAAAATAAATACTCTACAAACCCACTGGGTCAGCAGGTCAGTTGACGGTGATTTCTGCAGAAAGAATCTGGAAATAAAATAGCTGAAGCGTGGCAGGCCATGATGAAGGTACCTCAAAAAAGATGCCTGTAGAAGACCAGCACCCACCTGCATCTGCCTGACTCTCCATCTGATACTTTTAGAAAAGCTATACGAAAATATGTATGATATATATATATAATACATATGCTATATATATCCTACATGGAAAAAAGACAAGAAAAGCTTTTAAGTCATTGAATTAATGGATTACAATGGTCTGTTTGAAATCTTTCATTTGGCCCTAAAGTATGGCTTTACCAAGATGCTGTGACTCACAGTAGCCAATACAGGAAGAAGTTAATCTTTAAAATGACAGAAGAGATGAACAGATGTAATCAACTAAAGCAGCAGCTCCTAATAAGAGAACTGTAGGTACCCAGCAGCCTGGTCATGTCATCTGTCTAATCTCGGCAGATGCTATCTGTGGCAAAGGATGTTTACACAGTGAACTATTTATGATTAGAAAATCAGAATCTCACTTGCCTTCCTAGCTAGATAAAAAAGAATGCATGTAGGGATTTGAAGTAGGCTATTGTCAGTACTGAACCTAGTAGGAATGGCATGCCTGTATCTTGATTTCAACAAAGGATGCTATTATGGCACTTCAGTTTTGTTTTACTGGGAAGGATACTGGGCCAACTAAGGAAAACAGAGACGTATTAGGCTAAATTACTCATCAGCAGTTCACATTTTATGAAGACTTACAGGGCAGAAGATTTGCAAACTAAGTTGACCATTACAAACTTCCTACATATTTGCCTTGTTTTGTCCCCTTCAGTGGGAATAAATTTCAGATAAATACCAAGTTTGTACAAACTCTCTGTGTAGTTCCTTGATATACCTACACCTCATTCCTAAGAGAATTAGGGTTGTTCTCCAATACCAGTACTGGGCCTTGTGGAACCTCATACCACTGACCTTGTCACATTGATCTGACCTGTCCAGGTCACTCTGTAGAGCCTTCTTACCCTCAACCATATCTATGCTCCCACCCAGCTTCATATCATAGAATCATAGAAACATTAAGAAAAGACCTCTAAGATCATTAAGTCCGACCATCAACCCAACACTACCATGACCACTAAACCACAGAGTACCCCATCTACACGTTTTCTGAACACCTCCAGTGATGGTGACTCCACCATCTCTCTGGGCAGCCTGGTCTAATATCTCAAGTCTATCATTCTTCTATCATTCACATACTTACTGAGGGTGCCCTCAATCACCCCATTCAGATCATTGATAAAGATGTTAAACAGAACTGGGCCAAATACTGAGCCCTGAGGAACACCACTTGTGACTAGCTGCCACCTGGATTTAACTCCATTCAGCACCACTCTTTTGGCTCAGCCTTCCAGCCAGTTTTCTATCCAGCGAAGCATATGCCCATCCAAACCATGAGCAGGCCATTTCTCCAGGAGTATGCTGTGGAAAAGTGTCAAAAGCTTTATGAAAGTGTAGGTAGACAACATCCACAGGCTTTCTCTCAACCACTAAGTGGGTCACCTTGTCACAGGAGATCAGGTTAGTCAAGCAGGACCTGCCTTTCAGTAACCCATTCTGACTAGGCCTGATTGCCTGGTTGTCCTCTACATGCTGCATGATGATACTCAAGGTGAACTGCTCTATAACCTTCTCCAGCACCAGAGTCAGACTGACAGGCCTGTAGTTCTCTGGATGCTCTTTTTGGCCCTTTTTGTGGATGGCTGTCACATTTGCTAACCTCCAGTCCCCTGGGACCTCCCTGGTTAGCCAGGACTGCTGATAAATGATAGAAAGTGGTTTGGTGGAGGTCTCGTTATCATTCTTGGGAAGTATATCCTCAGTTATCACAGTCATATAGTTGTTCCAGTTGGAAGAGACTTTTAAGATCATAAAGTCAAATCATCCTTGGATAATGAGCATAGACTCTGAAAATTTTCCAGGTCAAATCTGTAATTTTCAGCTTAGATTTTAAATCAGTGTTTCTAAAATGTTCTGCTTGTACTTCCTCAAAATAGCTTTCTTCCTCTCTACTTCATGCTTTACAAAATACAAATTAGTGGGAAATAATCTCTTAAAACTTATGTTAACTCTATATTTCTGAAATTTTAAATGAGAAACATCATTTTGTAATTGAAAATATTAAGTAATTATGCATATTCCAGACTAGAATATTCTGTTTCTTTCCTTATATGCAATCATGATCCTTGTGAAGAGAAAATTGCCCAAGATTACTAGAAATTAATATAGATGGACACAGGTAAAATTGTGTTCATGGTTCAGATTCAAAACTTGACAAGAGCTGTGATTTGCAATCAAAAGGTCAGATGTTTATTTTCCCTAT